GGATCTGCCTGAGCTTACTCCCCTGCCCTCCTCTCCTTCACCTGGCGTGGCATGGGCTAGGGGGGCTGGGGTCAGGTTGTCTGAGGGGGTGGCTATGCCATGTGGGTGGATTCTCTACACAGAGGGGAGGTGCCCTGCCACTGCTCTAGGTGTCCCCCGTGACACGCAAGCGTACCTCCGCCTTCTGTGGTGAGTTGTTATTTTAAGAAATAGATAAAAGGAAGCATAATAGGCTTCAGTTAGGTCTAGACATATGATGATGATATGTAGATATAATAAAGAATGCAGCAGGCCAGCAGGATAGCTCAGCGGACTAAAGCACCTGCTTAGGCAAGCGCAGGGACCATGGTTCAGTCCCCAGCACTGCATGCAGTGCCAGCCCTGCCCTCAGCCAGCCACAAAAAAACCAAAACAAAACAATGTGCTTGTATTTCTTATTTCTGACTATAATGAGGCCATTTACGAAAACATTTACTGCTAACTTGCAGACACCCACCACACTGGCTTCACCTAGTGAAGTTAAATCAATGAAACTACAAAGACTAAGCACCTAAACCAGTGATGCAAACCTCTCAGAGCCCTCAATGATAGCGAACAGCAGGCTGCAGCACGTGTGTCATGGGTTCACTGCTGACCTAAACTATCCGTAAGCTACTGGACGTGATAGAAACAAGGCTTGCTGCTGGGTGCAGTGGCGCACGCTTGTCATCCCAGCACCCCATACTCAGGAGGCTGAGGCTGGATGAGTGCTGAGTTTGAGGCCAGCCTAGGCTACAAAGTGTGTTTGAGGCCAGCCTAGGCTACAAAGTGTGTTCAAGGCCAGCCTGTGCTGCATAGCAAAACCCTGTCACAAAAAGACCAAAAAAAGAAATGAAATCAGGCTTCCTAATGAACAGTGAAACTTCACAAGTGGAATATTCTTGTAGTATGCATCTTTTTTTTCATTTATATATTTGGGACAGGGTCTCACTACGCAGCTCAGACTCAGGTGTCCTGTTTTCAGCCTCCCCAGGGCTGGGACTACAGGCATGGGCCACTACACCCAGACTCAGTTGCAGGCTCAGCACACCCCGGCATGGCATGCAGGACTAGTGATTGAACCGTGGTCCCTGCGCTTGCCAAAGCAGGCACTTAGTCTGCTGAGCTATCTCGCTGGCCCTAGTAGTATGCATTTTTAGGCATTCTGTATGTGTTTACCTCACTTGCATGTCATATTTTGCAGTGGTGGTGCTAGAGAATGAACTGATGTATGGAGTTCCTTTTGAATTACCTGCAGAAGCTCAGTCAAAAGACTTTCTGATTCCCATTGGAAAAGCCAAAGTAGAAAGGCAAGGTAAGAGAACTTGAGGGTACCTGTAGCCATTACTGTAAGTCCAGCTCCTCTATATACGCCATAGTTAATCTAAAAGTTATAAGCCATTTACGTTGACTAAAAAATGAAAGGTTGAGCTCAAGTTAACGTGGAAGCCAGGCTTGGTGTGCGTGCCTGTGATCTCCCCACAGAGGCGGGAGGACCTCGGGTTCACCTCGGTCCAGTAGCTGGATTTCCTCTCTAGGCAGCGGCCACAGCCGGCTGCAGGGTGGTGCTGCATCTGTAGCTTCAAACCTGACCTCTGGTCTGTGACCTTGTTTTAGGGACACATATAACTGTGGTTTCCCATTCAAGACCTGTGGGCCATTGCTTAGAAGCCGCGACAGTACTGTCTAAAGAGGGAGTGGAATGTGAGGTGAGTAGGCTTCCACTTGCTCTTGACTAAAGTAAGATGCACTAACAGGGAATTCCATAACAGGAGGTTTTTGTGGTTTGGTTTTTTGAGGCAGAGTTTTGCTGTGCAGTTCAGAATGCCCTGCATAACCCAGGCTGGCTTGGAACTTGGTCTGATAGTCCTGCCCCCCAACCCTGTGCTGGGATTACAGGTGTGCACCACCATGTTCAGCTTATAACAGTCTAACTGGATGGAAGAGTGTGCTTTGTCACTCAGTTCTACTACGCTTAAAGTTGAAAACTGCTAAGGCTTTACACACCTCTACCATAGCTTTCTACCACTTAGATGTTAGATCTTAGAGCCATACCACCCTGAACATACCCAACCAATCTCACCAGATTTTAGAACCTTTATTATTTTAAAAAATTACTTATTTATTTAGTGCAGGGTCTGGCTATGCAGCTTGGACTCGTAGTGATCTTCCTGTCACAACCTTCCCAGCACTGCGATTACAGGTCTGTACCACTGTGTCCAGTTTGGGTGGCTGGCAGGCGACTTGGGCCAGCACAACATGCGGTACCACGGATCAAACTCAGGTCCTTGCACATGCCAGGCAGGTGCTTAGACTTCTGAATTATCCTCCAGCCCCGGAATTAGATCTTTTAGAATAGTACCTACTTTCTCAAGCCATTGAGATAGCTCAGTGGACTAATCGCCTGCTTAGACAAGCGCAGGGACTGGGGTTCAATCCCTAGCACCACATGCTGCACTGGCTCTGCCCCCAGGCACACTGAACCAGCCACTGAGACTTGACATGATGGTGCACATCTATAATCCCAGTGCTAGGGAGGCTGAAAACTGGAGGATCACTAGGAGTCCAAGCTGTACAGTAAGACTGTACCAAATACACACGCACACATACACACACACACACACACGGAGAGGGAGGATCTAGCATGGGAGCTGGACTTGAGAAAAGGTTAAGAGATTCTTTTGTGATTTTAGTTATATGTGGTTGTATATGGGTGTAATGCCAGGACTTTGGATGGCTGAGGCAGGAGAATTGCAAGTTCAAGACCAGCCTAAGCAACTTGGTGAGTTCCTGTCTCAGAATAAAAATGGGCTGAGAGCAGGGCCTGGGTTCCGTCCCCAATACCACAATAGAACCCCAATGATTCTAACCTTGTCATGGGACCTACCAGTTGCTGGTTATACCTGGGCAAGGCAGGCACTCTGATTATCAGTTTCATCAGTGATAAAGTAAGGATAGTAGTGCACTTGAGAGTTAACCCTTAGTGAGCCGCCTGGTACACACTGGACACTCAACTGCTGGCTCATGTTTTGATAAGAGGAATGTCAAAGCCAGGAAGAATAAATGAATCTTATTAATGAGCAGAGTTGCTTAGAGGAGGGATAGATGATTGTCTTAAGTAGTTTCTCCTTATGTATTCTGTAGACTCCTATACGGTCCGTAGGTACAATACATTTTCCTATACCCAAAGGTTAGTAAGAAAAAAAGGTAAGTGGTGTTCTGTCGGCAGGTCAGGAAGCGCTCTGTGGAGTCACGGCCATGTCTGTACTGCAGTGGCGCTGGAAAGGTTATTTTATTACCTGTTCAGGTGATCAACTTGCGTACCATCAGACCAATGGACATCGAAACTATAGAAGCCAGTGTCATGAAGACTAACCATCTCGTGACTGTGGAAGGAGGCTGGCCGCAGTTCGGAGTAGGAGCTGAGATCTGTGCCAGGATCATGGAAGGTATTCCAGAGACACTGCTGCTAGAAACGGTGACGCTTTAGTAAACTGTGTGCCCGGCTCCATGCTAGATGGAGATTCCGGCCCGGGGTGACGCGCTGACTGCACGTTGACTTGGCAGGTCGGCGGTTCTCCTGTGGGTAAATGATTTAACAGCAAAGCCAGGAAGGACCCCGAGTGGACCCTCGTCGCGTGTTCTCCCCTGGGGGTGGGCGCGGCCGCCTCCCCTGCCTCCCCACGCGAGCCTGCCTTCTCTTCTAGGCCCTGCTTTCAATTTCCTGGATGCCCCTGCCGTGCGGGTCACCGGCGCTGATGTCCCTATGCCTTACGCAAAGATTCTAGAAGACAACTCTGTACCTCAGGTCAAAGACATCATATTTGCAATAAAGAAGACACTAAATATCTAGTTCAGGCTTGAACGTGAAGTTGTTGAAACTTATTTAAAATACTTGCTGGGACCTCGGGGTTGGACTGCAGGATCTTACTGTTCGTAAAGTCACCTGTGAGGCAGTGATAGGTATTTCTATACCGTAAACGCTAAGTGTGCTGCAGTGTTCACGCTACACGCCTGCGCCCGACTCCACACTCTGTCTGTTACAGCTGCCTTGTTCTTTGAGTGAGATGGATATAAAAGATCAGGGTCCTGAGGAGAGATACAGCTAGATAACTTACATGTACAAAAGACATTGTATGAATATACTGTTAAAGTGTTTTGATAAGGAATTCGTAACTCAGTAACTTTTATATTCATGAAATAAATATGAGCAGAAGTCTTAAAATTGTATTAAGAAATTAATGTCAAATGGAAAATAAGGTGATCGTGTCTACAGTTGCTTGATTCGCTTTCCTTTTGGTGGAGCTGGGCGCGGGCTCAAGCCCAGGCCTCGGGCGTCTAGCAGCCCCCACCGCTGACCTGCCTTCCCAGCCCTTCCCCGCTCTTCTCCATGTGTGCAGAGCTTCATTCAGAACGGCAGCGCCGACCGCAGGCCTCGGCCTAGGCCTCCCGTCGGGTCGCGCAGCAGACCGCACTGCTTGGCAGGAGAGCTTCGCCACGCTGCACGCCCAAGTTCCCTCTGCAGTGAACACTTCCCCCTGTTGCCAGAAACATTTTATATACTCTCCATACACTTTAGTTGAGAGAAAAGATAGGTTTAAATGAATTACAGAATCATGTAGGTAGTTTCTAACTTAAATAGTAAGACAGGCTTATTGTATAAAGTGGAAAATGCGGACAAAATAACATGAATGCTATATGACTCTTTGTTCCCAAAAGGTAAAATTGAAAGTTCTCTTTTGAAATATCTGCATACAACATGTTTCTTGACATGGTTTATTTTAATAAAAAATACAGCTGAACAGTTATCACAGGTTACATGAAACTGTACACAATAACATTCTCTGCATAGTAACCAACACTGATGTGTGTACTTGAATTTTAAAATGGATTTATAATCCTTTAAAGTGCAATTTATTTTAAAGTTTAAGCAAATCATAGGATAAAAGATATTTCTAATAAATGACATTAAAAAGATGACATATTTGGATAAATCTTTGAATAGTAGAGTTGATTTCTAGATGCCAGATTCCCTCGTGTTGCAATAATGATCACCCAGCCTTGGCGGCTGCTGGACATGGACGTCGTTCAAGTGGCAGGAACTTTCAACGGTAGTATTTTGTTGTCTCTTACAATGTATTCTAAATAAAAAGAACTGTGGGTCCAGCGGAGTTGATCTTGCAGCCCCGAGTTCCATGGCCATAAGGAGGTTCTTGGTGGAGCTTGACTCTGGGCAAAGCCCCTGTGCGCCCCAGAGCTCAGGGAAAACCAACTCGGCTGGCTCTAACACAGCAGTGTAACTATGCTTTGGGCTGCAGCGTTAATGTCTGAGGCAAAATAAAGGTAGCAGAAATGAGTTATCTAAGGAATGCCCAGAAGATGCTTCAGGAAAATGAGCCGAGAGAAGAACATTTCTGACGGGGTAGCAGGACGACAGCACAAAGGCCGTTCTCTGCTGCGACGAAATATTGCCATTGCTTTTGTTTCTGTTTCCTTTAGTTGTGAAAATACTGATTGAGATCAGGGGCTGCCCAGAAGACCCGCTGAGAGCGCGGCCCAGGCTCCTCTCCAGTGCTGCTGAGGAGCTCAGGACTTTGCTCCGCGTAGGGTCCTTCCCCGGGCCACCCCTTCGGAGCATGCACAGACAGCACTGGCGGTGCTGGCTCCCCTGGGCTCAGCTACAGCGGGCAGAACTTTGCCCTCCTGGTGTAAACAAGAACTTAGCCGATTTTAGGAGCGCTGTGGTCACAGGTTTCGGCTTTTCTCAAAGTTCCCTTTTGGAAATTCTGGATGGAGCTGAGCAAGGCCCCTCGGCTCACACCGTTCACACCCTGCACTGGGAGCAGAGTGGGCGCCTCTGTGCTCACCGGAGGCAAAGGGGCAGCGGCTGGTGGAGGCGGCGGTGGAGGTGGTGGAGGTACTGCACACGGCCCTGTGGGGAGGGGAAGGGACAGTGGTCATCCACCTTCTCGAAACCCACGCTGCGGCCGCTCAGCCCCTGGTAGGACAACTTCAGGAGGCTGCAGAAATACTGAACACAAAAGCTAGATGCAGCAGGGGAATTAAAGGTTGCTGTTCCTTTCAAGTAACAGGAGAAAAGATGGAAACACCACAGATAAAGCTACCTGCACATGGTAATATAAGACTGACCTTGTTCCCAAATTTTAGTAATGGTCCCAAAACGAAGCTGCACCAGCCACTGGCTAGGTCCCAGCAGCGCTCCCTACTCTTGGCTAGGAGTGAAGGCCCATGGTGCGGTGGGCTGGGCTGTTGGGATCCCACTTAACTCCAAAGGGACAGCCACAGCTCAGAAGTGATGTAACGTGGCAAGGCACCTGGCATTCTGGCAAGAGCCAGGGCCAGGGTCTGTTTAAACAGACACTGCCTACTAGGCTGGACTGAAGAAATGCAAAACGCTAACAGCTATGAGGAGCACAAAGCTGGGGCTGGACGTGGTCTCCCAGGGGTGGCGTTCCTAGGAGTCCCGCTCAAGTTTGTTCCTTGCAGTTGGTTGCCCATCTGGGGAGCCAAGTGGAACTGCACCACATGTACAGAAGCATCAAGGGAGCCAGAATGTAGAGCTTTATCCTGTCTGGCAAGGGAAGGAAGCGGCTAGGTAGCTGTGCTTCCCTTGGCTCCAGGCACAGTGATGTTGGCTTCTTTGTGTGTGGCGCTGGTATGGGGGTGGAACCCAGGGCCAGCCACCTGCATGCTGGGGAAGCACTCTGCTACCCCTGGACTGTGCCCACATTCCTGCGCTCACTCCACAGGACCTGCTGTGTAGTTTCAGCTGGCCTTGAACCCACTGCACAGCCTCCGCTGGCCTTGAATTGCTGCAGTTCTCCTGCCACCTCTTCCTGAGTGCTAGGATTATAAGCAGGCACTGGCCATGCCTGGTCCAGGCCTTCTTTTCCGAGACACATCTTGAAATTGCCCAGGCTGGGCTTGAACTTGAGACCCTCCTGCCTCAGCCTGAATTCTGTACTTCTGAGTTAGGGGCTGAACTGTTAGCCCTGCTTTGTAGGCCTTTGTGCAGTAGACACTTGACACATCTCCTGTGAACTTAGCAACTCTAAGACTCCACTGGCTGTGGCTGTCACTCCCCTCTATCGCCCTGGGGTTACACTAAGGAGCCGCTCCCAGGCAGTGCCCCACGCTGCAGCGATAGCCGGCAGACAGCCACATCACTGAAGCGGCACGGAGGAGTCACGCGGGAGCACTGGTGACAGGGGACATCCTTTCTACGGATCCCAAAAGGCAAAAGCCAGTCTTGCAAATCACAAAACTACTTACCTTCTTTTGTATCTTTTGCCCCAACCTAAAGCAGCTGAAATTAAAGAATGACACAAAGGCACACACATGCACTGCGATCTTGGAATTCTCAGAAAATGATAACAATGCAAATAAAGATGAAGTTCAGGCCGATGAACACCATGTACCTTGCACTGGCTGTAGTCAGCAATGACTAATGGATGAAGTACTTATGTTTGGTGCTGGGATGGATCATGAGAACCTGTTCCTAGATCACATGATTATACAGATAAATATGATTTTAAGCCTGAGTGAGTGCTGAGGTATAAGACTGGGCTGCAAGTGCTCCTCTACAAAACTTCCGGTAGCGGCTGTCGGGAGGGGCCCTGCTGAGGCTGTGGGCGCGAGGAGGGCTAAGAGGCGCTGCGCTGCGCTGCGCCGCGCCCACACGGGGTGGCGGCACTCCTGTCCAGAAGGGGCTGCGGGACTGGGGCTGACCTCTAGGGCTTCCGCCTCCCAGCTCTGTGCTCTGCTGTCCGACTGCAGAGTGCCCACAGGGCTCAGGATGAGGGGCCACTCTGGGCTGCAGCAGTGCTGGAGGTCCTACTAAAGGCGACAGGCTGGCCACCCAGTGCCTGCTATACCCGGCCCAGGATGCCGGGCAGCTGGAGGCAGGCCCAGGCCTCTTGCCATAGAATGACAGTGCGAGGTCTCACGGGGAACCAACCTCTGACTTTGTTTTCCCTGCCAAGCGCTTGAAATGAGGACAGCTGCACTTCCAGAGTGTGGGAGTTGTGGGTGGGGTCAGAAATTAGATCCTTATTTCCCAAGTAAAGGCTGAAACTTGCCACTTAATCGCTTTGAAAACACAGGCCGTGTACATACACTGTCCTCCGTGCTGGTGGGGAGGGCTGTGGCCTATGCCTGAGTAACGGGTGGACACTGAGGGCTGTGTGAAGGGAGACTGGTCATCACGGGGAAGAGTAAGATCACCCTGACGGCTCCTCCACTCAGCCAGGCTCAGCCACGAGGCTCGGGCACCAGGCCCACTCCGCGCCAGGCCTGGGTCACAGAGCCTGATAAGTATCGCCTGGCCAAGCAAGGCCAGTGCCAACCTGCCAGTGCAGAGAGGCCCAGGAGCCAGAAGGCCAAGCCCGAGGTGGCAGGAACACAGCATCCAACGACAAAAGATAGCATATGCCCTGTCTCTGGCCTCTCCTCTTGCCTGTTTTATGGGCCACAAGCTGCCTTTAAAGGTCCACTGAGGGGCTGGGGAGAAAGCTCAGTAGAATAAATGCCAGCCTGGCAAGCGCAGGGTCCCGAGTTCAATCCCTGGTACCGCAAAAGAAAAAAAAGGCCCATTGAGACTTAAAGTACCACACTCTGGTAACAGTGGCCATGGCAAGCCTGGAAACAACTGTGTGGTGCCTATGCTGAGGCGTGGGTGCTACCCCTGCCAGGAGGCTGCCCAGGGCCTTATCCCCAGGGCAAGGGACGGGGCTCCCCAAAACAGCACGGTGCAGTACGGCAGTCAGCCCTGATCTCTTCCTTCTCATGTGCTCTTAAGACACAGCTCTTACTCTGCCCTTCCCTAAGGCTTTTCCACCAAGCCTAGCTGGAACCTGTACCCTGGTGGGGGCCAGGCAGGCAAAGACCGCTGCAGGCAAGAGGCTAGGTCAGCATCCTCAGCAGTCTCCCATGAAGGACACCCGAGAACCCCATCCTCAGCCCCATTTTGGCAGCAGGCAACACGCCGGGCTCCACAGCTCCAGACGCCCAAGTGGGAAGGTCCAGGGCCCACAGGCCACACCAGAGCCACAGCAGACCTGCCCACTACCCCAAGGCAGGCACAGAGCCGTGGCCTCCCCGCACACGGCAGCCCGGCTCCTGATGGCCACCTTCACTTTGGCCTCAGGGAGGAGAGTGCTGGCTTCGTGTCCCACAGAGCTATAGGATACTTAAGAACTGTGTCCCATCATCTGTTACAAGAGCCAGTCTCCATAACCAAAACACTCAACCACTTAACACATCTCCTCTATGTCAGAGGGACTAGGAACCAACGTTTTTGCAGCAACAGGATTTTGACAGTCACGGTTTCCAAAATTAAAATACACCAGAATGCCAGGCAGTTGATTTGTGAGTTTTAGAGCTGTACTTTAAATAAAAATCAGAGTGAAAATGAGGATTTTTGAAGGTCACAATGAAAATGAAATGAATAGGTGGTGATTTTTAAAGATGCTGTATTTCGCTCAGATGTTCAGGTAAGGAAATAGCCTCCAGTGTGTCCTCCCACGTGTTCACCACCTCAGTGATCTACAAGTTCTGGGTCCGACTTGCCACACAGAAACAGAGCATCTTTAAAGTTAGAGAGAAATCAGCATAGCTTACTTTACCGAAAATTCACGGTCAAAATGGTGCATGCTCTACTGAAGACAGCAAAGAGAAAGAGAGAAAGGGGACACAAGTCATTATTCAGGTTTTAGTGTCATTTAATCAAACAGACAGTAAAACTCTAGCCTAAATCACATGCATTTATTCTCAGTGCAAAATGCCCTGGCTTCTGAACACGGTGAAGCCCTGGTAACATGCGCACAAGGGCTGTAACATGGTGGTCTCCTTGATGGTGGCTCGGAACCACCCGCGTCCTGTGACCACGGGGCGGTCACGCACGGGCCACCGGTGGTTCCGAGCCACAGGAACATGATGAATGGGCAAATGCTACCAGGGCACCAAGCCAGTCACCTCCCTCTTCACATTCTCTCCTGAACCACTTCAGTACTGCTTTTGTTTATCTAGAAGCACGACATTCACTTGGAAAAGCACCTTGGGAGTCTTTCTCCCCTTGGAGAGCACAGCGGGTGTCTCCAGGGTGCCGGCTCCACTACTGAACAAGAACAATTTATGACAAGAGGAAGGAATGCCTGAGGGAGAGAAAGTGTGGGCAAGAAGACTAAAAAAGAACTGGGGGGAAAAAGGAGAGTGGTAAGGAAAACCCAAGCATTTTCCAAGCAAGTCTTCCCTGTCTAAACAGAGACTCATCAATTTAGAGTTGGGAGGAGCGGAAGCACAGGGCCACCGGGCTGCCATCCCTCCAGGGCATGGCAGACACTTAAGAAACAGTGAGGCAAAGGCTTGTCATGCTTTCTTGAAAGTGATCCGACCTCGAGTTAAATGTGGACAGAGGGCTTTCCCAGCTAGGGAGCCCCAGAGTTCCCACCCCCACCTCCTGAAGGCAGCCTGCCCACTCACTGGGGCGGCTCTAGACCAACAGGGAAGGCTGGGAGTCGGCTGGCCACTGCCCCTCCCCCGTGTCCCCACACTGAGGAGGACAGCAGCTCCAGCAGTGACTGGGCTTGAAGGGGAGCAGACTGAGTGTCCAGAGGGGTGGCTGGGGGCAGCAGGAAAGGAGGGCAAAAGGGGCACCCCTTTTGAGAAAGAGGCTATGCTTCAGAGACAGATTCTGAACCTAAACAGGTTGCAGACTTTGATCTGTCAAGGCAAGTTTTGGAAGCTCCAGCCCTCCCAAACTATGTCTTCCTTACCCCTCCTTCCTGATCTTGAAGCCCTCAGTCATTCTCTTCTGCCTCGGTCCTTCCAGCTCCAGATTGTAAAGTTCCCCTTTCTCCATTCATCTTTTTTTTTTTTTTAAATGCATTTGGTACAGGGTCTCACTACGCAGCTCAGACTCATAGCGATCCTCCTGTTTCAGCCTCCCCAGCGCTGGGATTATAGTGTGCGCTACCAGGCTCAGCCTCAGTGGCTGGCTCAGTGCACCCCAGGGGGCTGAGCCAGCACGGCATGTGGTGCCGGATCCAAACCCCAGTCCCTGCACTTGCCTAAGCAGGCACTTAGTTCACTGAGCCATCTTGCCGGCCCTCTCCACTCATTCTTACAGACTGGGTTTCCTAGGAACTATGGCTTCTCCTTCAAAATTATGGCCTAATACGAAACTGTAAGCAAGAAGGGCTGGAATTCTCCAGTACTAGGGCGTTCCTGGCAGACACCTGGTCACACTTCACTGCTCACAGAGCGTGGCGTTCATTACGGCTACCTCGCAAGGAGCACAGGCTCTCTCAACAGACAGTGTCACCGAGTGGAAATTACTTGCCCGAGGTCCCGCGGGCTGGTGTGGGGCGGGCTCGGCCGGGTTTCCACTCTACGTCGGGGGCCAGGCACAGTGCAGTGAAGTCACCGGGCATGCACGCAGCCAGCATGATTACAGCCAGTACTGAGCTGAGGTCCCCACACCGCTGGCCCCCGCCTGTGCGACCTTGGCCAGCTTCCCTTCACCTCACCAGAGCCTCAGTTTCCCTGTAAAGTGGAGCTGACCCGGAATCCACTCTCATTGGCTAGGAAGGTACTCAGGAGGGCTAAATGAAACAATGACTACAAACCAACTAGAACAGCAGCTGGCGCGAAATAAGTACTCAAACTACGTTAGCTGTGATTACAAAAAACAATTTAGCATTTTGTCCTCTAGGTTTCCTGAAATATTCTTGCAAATCTGCTTAGAAAATAAATAAATATATAAATAAAAATGGCAAAGCAACTGACCCATCTGTTCCCAAGGTGGGGGAGGGCCGGATTATTGAGTATGCACATAAACTGAGACTTCAGCTCTATGTCTCCACAGAAAACTAATTGATGAGATTTACTATGTCATAAATTGGGATAAAGTTTTAAAGTTCTTGGAAGCACCTTCTAAGGCAGAAAGCAATCTTTGGCAAAAAAGAATGTTCTCACCAAAAAAAAAGAATGGCAGAATTAGAGGAAGTCACTTCACCAGAAAACAGGCGACAGCCTCAGGCAAAGATATTCCTCCCATCAATTTGGTAAGGACCAGAGCTGCCGCGAGGAAGGTGCCGCAGACAGCCAAGGGCAGGGCCTGCCTAGCACTGGGAAGGAACGAGCCACAAGGCCCCCTGTGAGGAAAGCAGGTCACCTCTCTCCATGCTAAGGTAACTGAGAGGAAGACCACATTTATCTACAAAAATATGTTGAAAACATGCTTTCAGGAAGAAATTCACCTTGCTTAAGCTGCCCGGCCACCGGGCCAACTGCCAGAAGGTGGGATCCACACAAGACTTACAGCATGCTTGTTACGGGGTGCTTTAGGAGGGGCTCTTCTAACTTCTGCTCTTTGCATTTTACAGAGGAGGTAGGCAAAGCCCAGCCGCGGAGACAGATCCCCTCAAGGTCCACATTCTGAACGCCTGGCAGTGTTCACAGCCCGCATGTAACTCACAGAACCCTTCTTACCGCAGGGCTGGCCGCGGCACCTGAGCTGCTCCTTGGTAAATCGGGAGGCCCAGCACCTGCAGGCCCAGCACTGGCCCAAGGTTCCCAAACCAGCAAGCAGTGGCTCCCAAGCTTAGGGCCCCAGACCCTGGGGCAGGTCTCACACGTTCTGGGGTCAACTGTGATTGAGATGTTATCTTCTATAGGAATTCTTTCATTAATTCCAGTCTTTGAACACAAAACCATTTTCCTTTTTGTGTGTGTGGTTGTACTGAGGATTGAACCCAGGGCCTGCACACTGAGTTACACCCCCAGCCCTTTTTTATTTTGAGACAAGGTTGAGTTGCAAAACTGCCCAGGCTGGGCTTCAATTTGTCATCCTCCTGCCTCAGTTTCCCAGAGTGCTTGGGATCATAGGCATGTGCCACCATGTCTGGCTCCATTTCTGAAAATAGTATTTCCTCGAAAAGCTGCACTAAAACCCATAATCTTAGTCTAGAAGTCAGGTTGTAATTTTTATTTATTTATTTATTTATTTTGGTACCAGGGATCGAACTCAGGACCTTGTGCTTGCCAGACAGGTGTTTAAGCCACTGAGCTAGCTCCCTGACCTCCAGGTTGTAAATTGGAGTGAACGAATCCAGCAGCAGGATGAGCAGGGTGCAGAGGCAGTGAGAAGATGGGCCACGGAGGAGCCAGCCTTCCTGGCCTGCAGGTCTACCCAGGGCTGAGCGGCTGGAAGCTGCTGCCTGGGGCTCAGCATGTCTTGGCCCTGCAGAGGAAGCCTGCGGGAATCTGTCAACAGGGACTTTCGCCCACCTGCCCCAGGCAGCAGAACCCACTGGGGTCTGCCCGAGGCCGGGCACAGAACGAAGCTCAAAGTCGAGCGGGCTGTGTACTAGTTTGCTGGGTGAGGACCCCTTGACTTAGGGGTGTGGAGGAGATAAAACATTACCATAGGCAGACCCCAAAGAAAGCACTTGGGTGCACTACGCCTCGCTTTAAGCTGCAGAGAGGCTCCAGAAGGGAGACTCCCTCAGAGCTGCAGCCTCGACCGTTCACCTCTGTAACATCAGGCCTTGCAGTCCCTGGCAGGCCTGAGGCTCCCTGTAAATGCCTCCTGAAAAGTCTTGAACGAGTAAACTAAGGTGGGTATTTCAGAGGGGGCCTGAAGCACAGGTTACCTGCCCAGAAAATGCTAAATATTACTATTTTCATGAGCTGTAGTACAAGATATCCCCAGCAGAGGTCAGAGTACTGTCCTTGGGGGTGGCACTGATAATTCTGTGAACAGAACATCATGAGTCTCTGCACTGGGGCCTCAAGGCGCCTTCCTTCTAGATCCCCATGACTGGCCTCAGCGTGGCGCTAGGGATCTCCTGGTGCCAATCCCTTGGTGCCCATCACCTCAGATCATCTTTCCCAGTACCACCTCTAATCGTAAGATTCTTATCTTCTCTCATTCTAGGCAAGTGCTTTATTTGTTTAATCAATTAATGTACTTTGCAGGGCTGGGCACTGAATCCAGAGCTCTACCACTGGGCCTCTAGGACCTGTTATTTTATTGTGAAATCAAGGTCTCCCTAAATTCCCAAACTGACCTTGAACCTGTGGTCCCCAGATCAGCCTCTGGAGCAGCTGGGATTACAGGTGCACCATTGTGCTTGGCTCAAGTGCTTTTTAAAAATGTTTTTACCCCCAGGGTTGGAGATTAAACACAGGTTATTATGCATGTTAGGCAAGTGCTCTACCACTGAGCTACATCCCTACCCTTCTTCAGATAATCCCAAATTTATTTCCATCTCATGAAAATTTGCTACTGTGTGAAATAGTTCCCACTTGTGTTGTTTTGTTTGGCTTGAGGCAAGGTCTGGCTATGCAGTTTAGGCTGGCCTTGAATTCACTGTAGAGCCTTGGCTGGCCTCAAACTCTTGGTGATCTTCCTGCCTCAGCCTCCTGGGTGCTGGGATTAGGGGTGTGCACCACCACATCCAGCTGAGACAGTTTCCACTTAAAGCAGAGGTAGAACATTCCGCCAGAAGTTTGAAGGACTGTGAATTCCTCAAGGCCTTGTTTGTTTGAAACAAGATCTCACTATGCAGTGCAGGCTGGTCCTGAACACAGCAGTCCTCCTGCTTCGGCCTCCCAAGTGCTAAGCTTACCGTGTGCACTACTACGCTCGGCCCTCAAGGCATTTAGACATACACAGTGTATGGCTGGGAACTTAGCAGACACCTTCCTTGTTAAAAGAGGGTTTATGGAGGTAATTTTCTCTAATTTCCTTAATATGCCCAAATGGTATAAAATTAATACCCTGTCTTCTAGAAAATGGCTCTATCTAGGCTGGGCAATGAGTGTCTAGAAATTCTGGATCAGCCTAAGTAGGTCACCTTCACAAAACAAGGATCTGTCTTGATCAGTTTAAGGGAAGTTCTTGTAAAATCTGCTGACAACGACAAGAAGTGTATACTGTCTATGCGTCAGGTACTGGGCTGCTCCACACTGGCCCTGGCCCACAGCGTTCTACAGTAAGCAAGCCCCCAGCACTCACGATCAAGCAGCCGGGGCACACTGCCTCCCCACCCCTTGCACTCGCCTGTTGTTGTTAGGAAAGTCAGCTCCAAGCCTCTGAGAGAGCGGGCAACGCTCTTGGTAGCCCCTGAGACCACCACAACTGTCCACAATACGAACACTGTCACGTCTGATAGTCCTGCTGCTGAGTCTCCTCTCCAGCAGCTGCAGGGACCCTCCAAGAACAACCCATGTGCTCTGCATGGCAGGACCAGCTCCTCAGACAGTCCGACTACCTGATTTGCTTAAGAAGTAAACAGAGAGGCTGCTCCAGGAAGCTTTTACTGACCTTTCAAAGCAGTTAGAAGAGTGGTTTTAGTTCAAAAAATAAAGAAGAAAGCAGAAACAGTATTAGACTATTCTACAGAATCAGATTAGTTTTTCAGTAGTCCCAAGATAAATACCTTTAAATATTTCAAAAGCAATTGACAGTATCTGACCTAAATCATAATTGCAAAACAAAGGCTAGTGAAAGCGAAATACTCAGATAATGAACTGTTTGTTTCTTCTGAAGATAAGCTGCCTCAGCAAAGGCAACGCTTGACCAAAGGTGCCGCGCAGCTCTAAGCTAGCCCATTCCAGCGAACACCGAGTTTCTCCTAGAAGACACTGCCACCTTAGGGTCCCTCTGGTCTCTGCAGGAGGCTGGTGCTGTCTGGTCCCTGCAATGCTTGGAGCAAGGCAGGAGGAGGGGACAAGGGAGGCGCGCCCCCTCCCCACATTACTAACCTGCTGTAGAGGGTGGAGTCGGAGATGACGGGGATGTGAGCGGTGAGCTGGCCCCGGACCCTGCTAAGACAAAACAGAGATGCTCAGGGCACTGGCGAGAGGCGCCTGGAGTTTGGTGCCCACCAAAGCCCACTGTTTGAGAGTCTGCACCTGGCCTTGCACTCAGGTTACCATGTGAGAAGGACAGAAACTTGGGATGCTGGACGCAGTGCAACAGGCTAGCAGCCGGGGCAGGGTCCACCTCCTCCCCGGGTCCTTCGTCAGGCTGAGTTCCCAGGTCCTCTCAGCTCGCCTGATCTGACGCCAACATGCAAAGCAAGCGGCTCAGGCAGTCGGTCGCAGCATCTCTCTCCCAGCCCCACGCCTAGGCGATGGCAGGGCAGCACAGGATTCAGGGGTGCCCAGCACCTGGCAGGGCTTTGACAAGGAAAGCAAGCGCTCCTCGCGGTATCCCCTGGCACTGCATTCTGCACAATTTCCGTTTTGTCAGTATGTACATTCCAGGGGAGAAGGCGAGGCCACGCAGTCCATGGACTTTCTAATCCTTTTCTTCCGTGAAATTCAGCAGACATCTTCATTGACAATGAAGCAAAGCAAAGTCCCGTTCGCTGTGTGCTTCCTATGGACCTAGAGCCCGGACTGTGCACGGCTTCTTCGCACCTCGCTGTGGCACTGAAGCACCTAGAAAATGTCCTCCTTGCTTGCCAGGAAAGCACCTCAGGAGCAGACAGCAGGTCCTACGTAAGGCTCCTCTAGGGTGACCAGAAGCCGCTCCACACAAGGGGAGGTAACCGAGGCTCTTTGCCTGGTGCTTCCTAGGCCGACAGCGCACACCCACGGGAGGGCTGTCATCAGTGAAGCCACCAGCGGCTGGTCTGGATAGAGCCGCCTCATTCCACCATGACCCAGAGGGTGCGCTGCTGCCTCGCAGACTCTGGGTGTGCTGGGAAATGGCCTCGTCAAACCACATCTCCCTGCAGCTTGCTACCGCTGCTTCCTTGCAGTATTCCCGCAGCCCCCTGAAAAGATGACGGGGCTTTTACTGAAAAGGGGGTAAGACTCGGTGTGTTTCATCATGCTTCAGTGAGGAGACTGATGACTTAGTTTACTCCTTGAAGGTGCAAGGCATCGTGGAGTCCTTGGGCTCCCGTCTGGGAGCTTTGCGGGAAGGGCCAAGAAGGGGTAGAGCAGTCAGGCTTGCTCCGCCTCCTGCAGAACCAGAGGCTGCACGGCTCCCTGCCAGGCAGACCCACATCTCTGCCTGCTGATGATGAAGAGCGATGAAGAGCGCCTCTGGCCACACTCCCGACAGGAAGAGACCTAACACTGGAGCTGCCTGCGGGCCACGGTTCTGTCCCCAGGAGCCTGGCTCAGTCCTCCCTGCCTGACACCCCTCCTTCTGCTCAGCCCACTCCAGCTTTCCATTCCCGGCTCCACTGTGGTCCCTTGAGCCCGCGGGCGGCACCCAATCATCCGGTGCAGCGCTCCGGCAGGCATTCTCCCGGCCTGCGAACACGGCAGCTCCCTCTCTTCCTGCAGCTTCCTCCCTTCCTGCCATTTCCTCTTTTTTTCCTTAAAATGGGGTTGTGCCATTTGCCCAGGCTGGTCTTCTACTCCTGGGCCAACCGATCTTCCTGCCCTTCCAGCTCCTCACAACTACCAAGGCGGCCCTTCTCTTTTCACCCCTCAGCTCCTCCCCACCCCTCCTCACTCTACTCTCGGGGGAGAGCAGGAAGAGCCTGAGCACAGGGCTCCTGAGGCTGCCCCTTGGCCTCCTAGCTCTTCAGCCACTCCCTCCTGCATCTTCAGTTTCTCCCTGCTAGGGCCTTCTCCAGCCTAAAAGGATACTCAGCCCTCCAACCGCCCTTCCCACAGCTGCTACCTATTTAGAGTGAAACCTTCCCTATGTCAAAACTCTACTTCACAATCCATGAAGTGCAAGACCTGAAAGAGCTACAGGGATCACTCAGTGTGGCCCTGACTTCTAAACAAGCCCAAGCCAGGGAGCTGCTGAGGGCTGCTGGGAGTGGCCGGGAGGTCTTCAGAGCGCCTTGGCCTGTCCAGACGATGCCTCTTGAAATTCCAGTACGCAGTCCTCTCCCTGATCCACACAGGGTGCAGAGCCTTCCACTGCGTGGGGTCCAGAGCAGAGGCCAGGCCTGCGTAATGTCAGTTTATGCAGACTCTGCCAAAGAGCAGGGGGTGCTGCATCTTAACCAGAGTGGTCTCAGGTGCTCCTGTGCACAGTCAGGAGAGAAGAGGCAGAGCGCCCCTAACCGTGGAGACCTCCCACCACTTCAGTCCTGCGCCCATAGACTGACACAGTCCGTTGCTGGGACAGAGTTCTTTAATGCTCTGCATTCATTACTACACTGCCCAACCTGCGCCCGCAGAACCCCAAGCCTCCCCAGTGAGACTCGTGCCGCTGCCCTCTAGACTGGGGGCCCCTTGCCATCTCCAGCCAGTTACCTGAATTGTTAGAGTTGCTGTACTTCATGGAATGCTCTTCACTATTTTCAATAGCAGATCGTTTTGATTTCTTTAAAAATAAAAGAAGGGGAAAAAGCAAGGAATCAACACGTAGCTGCAGCTACGTTAGTTAAAACCTTTCCAGGCACACAGTCTGTTATAGACAAAGTCACCTTTGACCTCATAACTTATACAGTGAAGAAGCCACAAGCCAAAACTAATGAGGGAAATAAAACCAAGAATGCTGACTTCACTGTCCCAAGCCAATCTTCTTCCAATTACGTCATTCCACAGCGAGCCCTGCAAGCAGGAAACCACACAGTCCACAGCTCTACTAATATTACGTGGCTTTTAAAAAGATAAAAACTAGTCATCTGCAAACACCTGCAGCTTTCAAGGAGATAGAGCACAAAATCTGTCACTAAAGACAGACCACTGGCCTAGCACGTTTTCGTACATGTGGTCAAAAATTCACAGGAAGAATTCAGAGCCACCAGGCTTACCTTCCGAGCCAAAATCTTCCTCTTTTTTCTTTCTTCTTCAGATCCATGGTGTGACTGGGCTCTCGTCAGTCTCCGGTGCTGGTGAATCTTTAAGAGACCACAGCTCACCATAAACATGAGCAGGCACCATTGGCAGTTTCCTAACGAAACTTTCTCCAACAAGTTTTTCCAAATCAAGCTATTTAGAGAAAATTTTCTCTGCTAAGCCTGCGGCCTCCAGGCTTGGATCTGAAGGTCCAGTGGAAGAGTATGGAATGGGACGAAGAGCTTCCAAGCCCTAGCCCTCCTGCCTTCTTAGTTATAGAGAAGAGTGTGGTCTGGCGTCCGTAGCGTGCAGGCTATGCGCGCCCACCAGCCACATCTGGCATGCCCTGCCACCAAGGACCACCGCCCTTTGTGCACTGGTCAGTCTGTCCACAGCCTGAGCTGCTGAGAGCGTAGCCAAGTCCTCCGTTCTGGGTTATGGCACCTAGTCCTGAACCTGACTGAAAGCACGCACACACAAAATGTTTAGGGAGCGAACGGTCTGCAAAAGACAGCCACTTTGAAGACCATGGTCGAAGGAGAGGACACTGAAA